GGTTGGGGGTCTGTTGTTTAAAAAAAGAAAGCTCTTGTGTTTTATAAAGAAAAGTCTAGCCTTTAAGTGAAAAAAAAAAGAAAAAAAGCCAAAAAGGCTCAAGTGTTTAAAGAGAAAAAAAAAAAGAGAGGCTAGACAATGCTATGTGATAAAGAGCTAAGTGAAAGGTTTAGGACCCAAAGCCTGAGTTTGAGAATGAAAAGATGAATCTCCTGGTGAGGAAAAGAATGAGAGAGAAGTGAGAAGTGGGTTGAGAAGGCAATGAATGCCTTGAGAGAAGGGTAGCTTAGGTATGTTCTTCATTGGTTTAGAGTTAAGGAGAAAGACCAACTTGGGGCATTGGGTAGATGGGATTCTACTATTGTATGCATCAGTTGCCTTTTACCCTTAGCCTTCTGTTAAAGTTTATTCCCTCTTGAGTGATCCCTTGAGCTGCATTGAACCCATAAACTTTGAATGAGATCATCTTTGTTTTATAACCTCATCCCTTAGCCAAATGAGTTCACATGATTTGCATGAGCATGATCCACATGATACTTAAATGAATATCAAAGGGCTGGAGTTAGGAATTCTTGTGAAGGTTGACACTTGAGTTTGGTTCACTTGGTGATGAGCATGGCTAGTTTTTATGAGTACACCAGTTTGAATTGCAATTTAGAATTAGTAACTAGGACCATGAGTTGAACTCTTTTGATGATAACTCTCTCTCTCTCTCTTTAAGAAATGTGAACTCCCAAACGCCAATCCTCTCTCATGTTTTGTTCTTTTTCCTTGAGGACAAGCAAATGACAAGTGTGAGAGAGTTGATATGTTCATAAAAAGCATCATTTATCTTGTATATTTCATTTCAAATCATATCTTATTTCATGCATTTTAGGTCTTTAGACATTGTTTTAGGACTTAGGAGTTTGCATTAGGTCCAAGTGAGTTTTTGCATGGTTTGGAGTCTTAAACAGGTACTTTGGAGGCTTTTGGAGTGTAAAAGGTGAAACCAAGTTTTCAGATGGTGGAAAAAGGATCAGAAATGGTGAAAATGTAGGTTTGGAGTCTATCGGCAATATCTTGTATTGCATGATGCAAAACACCGGCCAAGAATGCTTACCATGTGGACTTTTATTGACCAGACGCTGTAACGGATCGAGAGAGTATCGGCTAAAACATTATGCCAAGGGATTTGGGTTTTATCGGCTAAAAGTCTTTACCGCGAGGACAGATTCTCGGCAAAATTCCTTACCGCGGTACATGAAGACCTGGCTAAAAATCTCTGGCTCTGGTAAGCATCAAAGATCACTCGTCCGAGGAGCCTTTCCATCCGTTTCAGCTTCCGAGGTATTCGTAAAAGTTGGAGAAGGTTGAGTTATGGTTCCAGAACAGTTGGAATTAGTGGATTCGGATCAGTAAGCAGAGAGTTATGACCAACAGAAGACCTACCTGTCTTGTTTGCATTCCAGACCGACCTGATGTGCTTCAAAGATTATATATCATGGTTTTTATGGTTTTTAACCATGGTATAGGTCTTATTTATAGAGTCTTTTTAGTGTCTTTCGAGTCTTTTGGAGTCTTTTCAGGTCATAGGTACGTTTGGAGCTTAACTGGAGACTTTGGAGCACTTTGGAGCTTAATCAGGATCAAATTCGTCAAGAATGGATTTTGTGCTTTAGTGTCGCTCGACACCATGGAGAGTGACGCTCGACACTTGTCAGAGAAATAAGGAAAAGGTGATTTTGTTTCCTATTTGAAGGAGTTGGGCCCAAACGTTTTCAAGGAAGCCCAAGACGTGTCTTAGAGATATATTTAGGATTTTTATTCCCTTTTTACGATTACCTTAGATTTTTGAGAGAGAGATACTCTGAGCTTTTCGGCTTTTGCGATTTTCTGAGCTTGGGGAGACAAGTCTGTACTCTGTTCGTTTAGAGAGAAGATTTCAAACCCCTTTATCTATTTCGATTTAATCTATTGCTTTCTATTCATCATGTTTGTTGTTTCAATGATCATGTCTGAGTAGATCACCTGTTAGGTTTAGGGTTAATTAGGGTTTTCTTTGAATGTTTGATTAACTTGCTAGCTAGGGTTTATATCTGTTAGTTCTTCATCTTAGGTTGTTCTTAAAGCTAATTCTAGATTGATCACCTAGAACTTAGATCTTAGGTTGCTTAATTGACACGGAAGTGTAATTGAATAACTGGAAAGAACCTGAGTTGAGCAAAGTAACTATTCGCAAAGGAATTTGGTTTAGGAGCTTTGTGAACATATCGAACTTGTGCAATTAAGGCTGGTTTAAATCTGTAGGATTTGCAAAGGAATTTGGAATTCTAGGATTTTAACTTAGATAATTCTCACAACGGAAGTTGGTTAATTATAGTTCTGTGTTTCGAGTTCAAGAACCGTGCTTAATATCTGAACACTGACTTGTTAAGTTGATATGCATTCATTGATCTCCTGAAAATCACCCTAGACCTATCCTTCATCACATCGAATTTACAACCATTTTCCTTGCTGTTTTATTTATCTCTGTCGCATTGCTATTTGTTTCGCTTATTTTGGCTTAGCGTAACTCCATCTACATAAGGTTTATTGAGTGATCTCTTGTCTCTGTGGTTCGACCCCTAGATACTACAACTGCACATCTGTGCTCTTACAGAGTAGCTTAGGGCTTAAACTTTGAGCAGATCAAGTTTTGGCGCCGTTGCCGGGGACTTGATTTCGCCATTAAACCTAGTTTTTGAGTTTCAACTAAGTTTTTCTTCTTAGTATCGAGCGACACCACTTGTGGTGTCGCGTGACACCTTTCTTTTTATAACCTAATTTACTTATTTCGTTTTCTCTCTTTGTTTTTGGTGTTTCAGGTTTATGCATACTCGTGGAACCAGAAGCAACAAAGACATCTCGCTAGTGAATTTGAGCAACGAGGAGCTAGCCGAGTTAGAGCGAACGAACAGGAAAGCAAGAGATCCGGCAATGATGGAAAATGCCAATGGACTTGTTCGTGATGATGATGGAATCTGGAGAGACCGAGAGGGTCATGTGTGCAATGCGAGAGGCCAAAGGCTTGATGGAGATGGTAACATCATTCCACCAGCCCCTTTACCAGTGGATGTTGTTGACCAGAATCCACCACCTGCACCGCGTGGTAATGCTGTGATCGTTCCAAATCAGAGGAACGCTCCAGAAGATCGGAATGTGAGGGAACCTGCACCTGCATCTGGTCGTGGACGAACACTTGGAGACTACAACAGGCCTGAGCAGTTCTATGCAAATCGTTCTGCGATTCGCGCCCCTGCGTTTCAAAGAAACGATTTTGAGCTGAAACCTGTGTACTACACTCTTGTGGGTCAGCATCCTTTCCATGGGCACTCTCATGAGCACCCTATGGATCACATCGAGAGATTTGAGGACTAAGTCACCAGCATCAAATACAATGGAGTGTCCAACGATTTCCTCCTCTGCAAGCTGTTTCCTTATTCTCTAGCTGGAGAAGCAGCTAACTGGTTGAAGCAGTTGGAGGCAGGATCACTCACTACTTGGGAAGAGACCAGGAATGCTTTCCTGCACAACTTCTTCGATGATGCTAGATCTGAGGAGTTGAGGACGAAGATTTCGACTTTCTCTCAGGAACCAACTGAAGCATTCAAAGCTTCTTGGGTGCGATTCAAATCGTACCAACGAGACTGCCCTCATCATGGCTTCAGCGATGTGCAGTTGCTAGGTATCTTCTTCAGAGGTATCGACTGGAGGTATCAGATGGCACTTGATGCAGCAAGCAATGGCAACTTCAACACCAGATACCTAGAAGAAGCTGTTGAACTCATCGAAAATTTGGCATCCAGCAATAGCACCAAGAATGCAGATCTTGAGCGAAAGAAGCAAGCTGGAAATATGGATAGATCGCAGATCGCTGAGGTGAAAGCTAAACTTGACTCTGTGCACAGCCTTTTCGTGGGTAAGAAGTCTGTCAGATTCGCACAGGAGGTGGAGAGTTTCGAACCTGAGGATGAAGCTGAGGAAGAAGATGTCAACTTTGTCAGTGGATCAGGATTTCAGGGTCAGAGGTTTGGTAATCAGCAAGGTAACAGAAGCTACAGTGGGAATTACAGTGGAAATCCGTCAACAGTAAACAGAACTTCTCTGGTTACACGCCTAAGTCTCAGTACCAGAAGCCTTTTTCCAACAACAGTTTTTCCAGAAACTACAGCACTCCTTCATCTCAACCTCAAAATCCTGACAATGAGATGAAGTCTATGCTGGAAAAAATTCTGGAAGGTCAGCAGAAGCTCACCGTGGACTTCAATGGGAAGATGGATGCTCTCTACCTTGATCTGAATGGGAAAATCGAAGCTCTGAACACCCATGTCAAGCAGCTCGATACGCAGGTAGCCCAAACTGCAGGTTCTGTTAAAAGGCAAGAGGGTTTTCTTCCTGGGAAGACTGACACCAATCCAAGGCATCACTGCAGTGCTATCACGTTGAGGAGTGGTAAAAATCTGAGTTCAGAGCCCAAAAAGACGCCTCCTGCACCTGAAGTCGTGGATTTGAAAAACCCTGAAGAAGTTCCTGAGATTGCAGAGCTGGTGTCGAGCGACACCACCACTAGTGTCGCGCGTTACCAATTGCAGAGCGAAGCTGTTGATGCTCCGAATCCGAAATCTGCAGAGGAGAAGGCCTACAAACCTAAAGTTCCTTACCCAAGGAGCCCTAGGAAGTCCAAGCAAGAGCTTGATGATGCACGATGCAAAGCTTTGATGGAAAAGCTTGTGATTGAGATTCCCTTGGTTGATGCTGTAAAGATCACTCCTGTTATCAGACGTTATGTGAAGCCAATGGTTACTAATAATCTCAGCCATTAACAAGGAGTGATGATGATTTCTGAGCAAGTCAGTGCAGTGATTCAGAACCGAATCCCAGAGAAGCTGTCTGATCCAGGAAGCTTTGTCTTGGATTGCTCTATCTTCACAGAGAGATTCAAGAGATCGCTGTGTGATCTGGGTTCAAGTGTTAACCTCATGCCTTATTCAGTGGCTGTCAATCTCGGTATGACTGACTTCAAGCCAACAAGGATATCTCTCATCCTAGCTGATCGTTCGACAAGGATACCTAAAGGGGTGCTAGAAGATGTTCCAATCAAAGTTGGAGACTGCATGATACCGACTGACTTTGTGGTTCTGGAGTATGGAGAGGAGCCTAAGGATCCTCTTATCCTTGGGAGACCTTTTCTAGCTACAGCAGGTGCTATCATCGATGTCAGGAAAGGCAGGATCGCTCTGAATGCTGGAGATCTGGTGATGAACTTTGACATGGACAAGCTGATGAAGAAACCCACCATCGATGGTCAGACCTTCTATGTCGACACTCTCACAGAGTTCGCTGAGGAGATTTTCCATGAGATGCTGCCTACAGACCCACTTGAGAGAGCTCTGACCACGTCTGCATCCGAAGCTGAACACTTGGACGAAATTTTCAGCATCTTACTCGAAGATGTTGGACTCCAGCGAGCATATGATGCAGCTAACATCGCAGATTGAACAGCTTGAGACTCCTGCGAAGGTGAAGCAGCTATCCGACTGGAGTGAGGAGAAAGCGCCCAAGATTGAGTTCAAACAACTCCCTGCAGGACTAAGGTACGCATTCCTAGGCTCTAATTCTACTTATCCAGTCATTATCAACTCTTCCTTGAACAATGCTGAGGTTACCTTACTACTGAGGAAGCTGCGCAAGCATCGCAAAGCTTTTGGCTATTCTCTTGATGATATTTCAGGTATCTCACCAGACTTGTGCATCGAATTCACCTGGAGGATGAGTCGAAGTCATCGATCGAACACCAGCGCAGGCTGAACCCTAACCTGTAAGATGTCGTCAAAAAGGAGATCATGAAGCTGCTGGAAGCTGGAATCATCTATCCAATTTCAGATAGTGCTTGGGTGAGTCCTGTGCACGTGGTTCCTAAGAAAGGAGGGGTTACAGTTGTGAAGAATGACAAAGATGAGCTGATTCCGACGCACACAGTGACTGGACACAGGATGTGCATCGATTACAGGAAGCTGAATGCAGCGACCAGGAAAGATCACTTCCCATTCCCTTTATTGATCAGATGCTATAGAGACTTGCAAGCCATCTCTACTACTGCTTCCTCGATGGGTACTCAGGATTTTTCCAGATCCCTATCCACCCAGATGATCAGGAGAAGACCACCTTTACATGTCCATATGGCACCTTCGCATATCGCAGGATGCCCTTTGGACTTTGTAATGCTCCTGCGACATTTCAGAGATGTATGATGTCTATCTTCACTGACATGATTGAGGATTTCATGGAGGTCTTTATGGATGATTTCTCAGTTTACGGATCATCTTTTAAGGACTGTCTGGATAATCTCTGCAAGGTTCTGGCTCGCTGTGAAGAGAAGCACTTGGTCCTTAACTGGGAAAAGTGTCACTTTATGGTCAGAGATTGGATTGTGCTCAGGCACAAGGTTTCTGCAGCTGGCATAGAAGTGGATCGTGCGAAGATTGACGTCATGACGAGCTTGCCACCACCTGATTCTGCGAAATCAGTTAGAAGCTTTCTGGGTCATGCAGGGTTCTCTCGTCGCTTCATCAAGGACTTCAGCAAGATTGCACGTCCTCTCACTGCTTTACTATGCAAGGATGCTAAGTTTGAGTTTACAGATGAGTGTCTTGCTGCGTTCGAACAGATCAAACATGCTCTGATAAGCGCCCCTATCGTGCAGCCTCCTGACTGGAATTTGCTTTTTAAGGTGATGTGTGATGCTAGTGATTTTGCTGTAGGTGCTGTTCTAGGACAGAAGAAGGAAAAAAATCTTCATGCAGTCTACTATGCCAGACGAACTCTGGATGATGCTGAAAGGAATTACGCTACCACTGAGAAGGAGCTGTTGGATGTGGTCTTTGCCTTTGAAAAATTTCGACCATACCTTGTGGGATCGAAGGTGATTGTGCATACAGATCATTCTGCACTCAAATACTTGATGCAGAAGAAGGATGCAAAGCCGAGATTACTGCGATGGGTGTTACTTCTTCAGGAGTTCGATATTGAGGTCAAAGACAAGAAGGGTGTTGAGAATGGTGTAGCAGATCATCTCTCACGCATCAGGGTTGAAGACGACGTACCCATAGACGATTTCCTGCCAGAAGAGAATGTATACTATGTGGAAACCGAGTTCCAGAGCAGGTTTGACGAAGAATTGCAGGTTCTTCGAATTGAAGAAACGTTAGTGTCGAGCGACACCACCCCTAGTGTCGCGCGTCACCTTGCTCAGCCATACACAGAGACCTATCCAATTCGAAGCAGACTTCCTGAGATCAGTTCAGCTGTTGTATCTGCCACCCAACGTCCTTGGTATGCTGATATTGCCAATCATCTCGCTGCAGAGGCTAAGCCTGAGAACTTTAAAGGGTATGCGAAGAAGAAGTTCCTGAGAGAGCTACGAAGATATCATTGGGATGAGCCATACCTGTACAAGCACTGTTCTGATGGGATTTACAGAAGATGCATTGCAGAGTCAGAAGTCCCAGAGGTGCTGTTTCACTGTCATGGGTCGGAATATGCTGGACACTTTGCGACATTCAAAACAGTGTCCAAGGTTCTTCAAGTAGGCTTTTGGTGGCCTACCATGTTTCGCGACGCGCATGCTTTCATCTCGCAGTGCGGTGCTTGTCAGAGGAGAGGAAAGATCAGCAAAAGACATGAGATGCCACAGAATTTCATCCTTGAGGTTGAGGTATTCGATTGCTGGGGTATCGATTTCATGGGTCCTTTTCCCTCTTCGTATGGGAACAAGTACATCCTGGTTGCTGTTGATTATGTTTCAAAGTGGGTCGAAGCCATTGCTAGTCCCACCAACGATTCCTCAGTGGTTCTTAAGATGTTCAAGACCATCATCTTTCCTTGATTTGGAGTGCCTCGAATTGTTATAAGTGATGGTGGTTCTCACTTCATTAACAAGATTTTCGAAAAACTCCTCAGGAAACATGGAGTTCATCATCGAGTTGCAACTCCTTATCACCCTCAGACAAGTGGACAAGTCGAAGTCTCGAATCGTCAGATTAAGGAGATCCTGGAGAAAACAGTGGGCAAAACTCGAAAGGATTGGGCTGCGAAGTTGGACGATGCACTCTGGGCGTACAGGACAGCGTTCAAAACACCTCTAGGCACCACACCTTTCCACCTGCTCTATGGAAAGCCCTGTCACCTTCCAGTGGAGATCGAACACAAGGCAGCCTGGACGATAAAGCTGATGAATTTTGACATCAAGTCTGCTGCAGACAGGAGACTGATACAGCTGAATGAGTTGGACGAAATCAGGCACCATGCCTATGAGAATTCGAAGTTGTACAAAGAGAGGACCAAGGCTTATCACGATTCAAAAATCCTCTCCAGGCAATTCGAAGCGAATGATCAGGTACTTCTGTATAACTCTCGTTTACAATTGTTTCCTGGTAAACTTTGCTCTCGATGGTCAGGTCCTTTCATTGTCAAAGAGGTTCGCCCCTATGGTGCTATCGTCCTCCTCACACCAGATGGTAGCAGAGTGTTCACAGTCAATGGACAAAGGGTAAAGCACTACTGGGCAAAAGCCGAGATTCCGGATGGACATATCGTGCCTCTGGATGGTGCACCTCCTGCTTGAATCATCATCAAGTCAAGCTAATGACTTTAAACAAGCGCTTGGTGGAAGGCAATCCACTGGTGAGTCTGTACATAAGTCTTTTTGTTTCAGTTGATTTTCGTTTTTCTTTTCGTGTTTTAGGTGAAGCAGAGGCTGGTGTCGAGCGACATCACCTTCGGTGTCGCCTGTCACTTGCTATTCATCAAAAAAAAAAAAAAAAAAAAAAAAAAAATTAGGAAATCAGGAAACCGGACTCAAACCAGAAATTTGGATTAGTCTGCTGCAATTTGGTACGAAAAGAACAAGTGTCGCACGATACCATCATCAGTGTCGCACGACACCATCATTGCAGCCAGGTAAGTTCTCCGTTTTTCTTGTGTTTCTCTGTTTCTTCTCTTTTGTTTCGCCAACTTCGGACTAGATAACACTGGGGACAGTGTTGTTTAAGTCTGGGGGAGGTAGTCGCTGACATTGTGTTTGTTTTTCTTAGAGTCAGTCGTGTCAAAACCTGTTGGAGATTATGATGCTTTTCCTGGAATATTTGTGCTGAACTTTCATCTAAGTGACCACTGCTGCAGATTCAGTCTAGATCCGACTAATGAAAAATCCAAAGGCTGGCCAGTTGACTAGAGGCGTCCATATTTCCAACAGAATCCACTAACCTGAGCTAAGTTCTGAACTTCACTTTTAACTCGTTGATGTGACTAAAGCCTTAGAGCTTGATTCCTCGTTCGTACTTGATCAATGAAAGCCTGTGTGAAATTTAATGTTGGTGTTTCTCTCCCTGTGACGAGCTAAGAAGAAGAAAAAGAAAGAAAAGAAAAGGGCAAAAAGATTGAGATGATTTTCGCTTAGGAGTGAAGGGCTAGGAATGTTTCCAATGATCCCATTATTTCACTCCTAAGTTGGAATGATCACACAAAGGAAGGAAGTGAGGGGTAGGAATGTTTCCCATGACCCCACTATTCGCTGAAAACCTTTGATACAAAGTAAGGGGACAACTCGGGGACTCCATGGCAAACACCATCAGTACTCGCAGCTTTACCTTTATCGAGTATATGCCATAAAAAGGAGAAAAGAAAAAGATGATGAATGTGCGAAAAGAAAAGTCTGGGGGAGAGAAAAAGTACCAAAGTGTGTAAGGCTGATTTGTTTGAGTACAGAATGGGAAAGAATCTAGAAGGTTTTGGGCATTGGAATCATCAGTGAGATCCAGCGATGAGGGTTTATGGATAATGTTGTGGAATTTTGGACTTAATCTGGGAAGCTGTGAATGTCCGCGGAGAAGTACATGGTGGTTCGATTTGGAGTGATGAAGCAGTAGTTGAGTTGCAGGGTAATCAGTCAAAAGCGATGTTCCAATGAAAGGTTGAATCTCTGTGTTTTCAAACCTCTTTCTCTTATTTGGTGTTCTGTTTGCTTGAGGGCAAGCAAATGCTAAGTCTGGGGGAGTTGATATATCATGGTTTTTATGGTTTTTAACCATGGTATAGGTCTTATTTATAGAGTCTTTTTAGTGTCTTTCGAGTCTTTTGGAGTTTTTTCAGGTCATAGGTACGTTTGGAGTTTAACTGGAGACTTTGGAGCACTTTGGAGCTTAATCAAGATCAAATTCGTCAAGAATGGATTTTGTGCCTTAGTGTCGCTCGACACCATAAAGAGTGACGCTCGACACTTGTCAGAGAAATAAAGAAAAGGCGATTTTGTTTCCTATTTGAAGAAGGAGTTGGGCCCAAACGTTTTCAAGGAAGCCCAAGACGTGTCTTAGAGATATATTTAGGATTTTTATTCCCTTTTTACGATTACCTTAGATTTTTGAGAGAGAGATACTCTTAGCTTTTCGGCTTTTGCGATTTTCTGAGCTTGGGGAGACAAGTCTGTACTCTGTTCGTTTAGAGAGAAGATTTTGAACCCCTTTATCTATTTCGATTTAATCTATTGCTTTCTATTCATCATGTTTGTTGTTTCAATGATCATGTCTGAGTAGATCACCTGTTAGGTTTAGGGTTAATTAGGGTTTTCTTTGAATGTTTGATTAACTTGCTAGCTAGGGTTCATATCTGTTAGTTCTTCATCTTAGGTTGTTCTTAAAGCTAATTCTAGATTGATCACCTAGAACTTAGATCTTAGGTTGCTTAATTGACACGGAAGTGTAATTGAATAACTGGAAAGAACCTGAGTTGAGCAAAGTAACTATTCGCAAAGGAATTTGGTTTAGGAGCTTTGTGAACATATCAAACTTGTGCAATTAAGGCTGGTTTAAATCTGTAGGATTTGCAAAGGAATTTGGAATTCTAGGATTTTAACTTAAATAATTCTCACAACTGAAGTTGGTTAATTATAGTTCTGTGTTTCGAGTTCAAGAACCGTGCTTAATATCTGAACCCTGACTTGTTAAGTTGATCTGCATTCATTGATCTCCTGAAAATCACCCTAGACCTATCCTTCATTACATCGAATTTACAACCGTTTTCCTTGCTGTTTTATTTATCTCTGTCGCATTGCTATTTGTTTCGCATATTTTGGCTTAGCGTAACTCCATCTACATAAGGTTTATTGAGTGATCTCTTGTCTCTGTGATTCGACCCCTAGATACTACAACTGCACATATGTGCTCTTGCAGAGTAGCTTAGGGATTAAACTTTGAGCAGATCATTCAGTTTTCGGGGCCTTCACCAAATATCAAGAGCTTCAAGCCTTCTTTCCACAACGCTTAAGATCACACGACTTGGAGCTCTGAGCTGGGAGATAACGCAACCGGAGAGAACACAGGTTCAGAAGCCTTTTCTGGACCGTTCCGTTGCAAGGCAAAGATCAGTCGTCCGGGAGACTTTCCACTCCCCGGATGCAACTTTGTTCTTCATCAAAATTTGAGATGGTTGAGTGGTCTTTCCACTGGAATTCGAATCAACCCATTTGGACATGTATAATGGAAGTTATTCTGCCCCAAACGCGAAGTGGTCCGAGAAAACAGGAAATACTGCGAGATAGTTTTGCGACTTGGTTAACTCGCAGCAACAAGGGATTGAACTCTGGAACAGGCTGTGACTGGAGATGTGCGGGTAAGGCAACTCTAACAAAGGGTAGAAACTTCCAAGACGAAATTATGTCAAGTCCACAAGCTGTGCGACTTAGGTGTGCGAGTAGGAGCTGGTTGAACTATCTCGCACATATGCTCGCAATTCAGACCGACTTGGTCGTGTGACTTGAAAGTGAAGAAGGCCATCTCGCACACAAGTCTCAATATCTGTGCTACATGATTGTGCGAGTGAGAAGGAATAGTGGCCTGAACCGCACAAGAACTCGCAAAACAAACCGAGATGAGAATGCGGCTTAGGCAACAAAGTTCAAACTCGCAAGAACTTGTTTTTAGACTTGTGCGAGTTAGGTGTGCGACTTGGAGCTGAGCAAGACCATCTAGCACAAATGTTTTCTCCAGGATGCGTGTTGGCTGTGCGGGTTGAAGAACAGAAGACCTGAACCGTACACATATTCGCAAAACAAACAGACTTAGGCATGCGGCTGAAGCTGAAGAAGTTTAGGCGCAAAGGACAAGCTCCAGGGCTATGTGAATTGGCTGTGCGGGATGGGAAGACTTGACCAACTCGCACACTGGACACTTTACCCATTTGAGCCGGGTCAGTACCCAGTTTGTCCTCGGTTGATCCGGTCTGAACTAGAGAGTATAAATATGTTTTAGGGTTTTTTCCAAGACTTATCTCATTTTCCCTTAAAAGTTTTGCCTCTTTTGTGAAAGAACACCTTTTGAGAGAGAGAGATCTCCCTTTTTCTGTCTAATCAAAGAGAGTTTAAGAGCTTTAATTATCTTCTCATCATTATCTATCTTCCATATATCTATTCTCATCAACTAATCATGCTTAACAACACATCTTGCAAAGGATTAAGTGTGTTAATCATTATTAGCGAGTAGTCCCCTCATTAGAGTTCTAGATATGTAGGTTAGGGTGCTCTAAGGGTTTGATTAAGTTAGCTTAGGACTAGATTCATGCATCTTTGTTCTTGTTTAACTGATCTTAATGCTGGGTTTCTTAGAATCACTTAAACCCAGATTCTAGACATTTCATGCACCAAAAGTATTTGATGAAATGTCTGAACCAGTTAATGCAAGAGTCTAATGTTTGATTCACATGGGAATGTTGTTTTCAGCTTAGATGGTATATCAGGATTGGTTTCTAATGCATCTCTTTCACTTGTTTCTCTAATGATGATTGGGTATGAACTATGTTTGAGATTGTGTTTTGATGCTTGAGAAAGATTGAAACTTGTATTGAATCCTGAGCTGTTTATATCATTTATCACCTTGTTCATTAGCTACTTAGTTAGATCCTGAAAGCACCCTAGCCAACTACCATATCTAGAGCTCTATACTTCATCATATAACATATTCATCATCATCGTTTAAGCTGTCTTGCTTGCTTAGTTGCATTTTTAATATTGTTTAGTACTGTTTTAGTTTACTTTGTTTACTTTTGTTACTTATTTGAAACCAAAAACTGTCTATCTTGCTTGAATTAAGTGGAAACTTACATTGACTAGTGCCTGATCTCACCCAAAATGGTTTGACACCCATTGTACTACATGAATAAAGGATTGATAACCCATTAAAAGCCTTGAAAACTCTTACTTATCAAGAATTGAATGAAATATCCTAAGAAACTAAAAGTTCTTTCATATAGCTCTTCATTTGGGAAGCTACCCAAACTAGCATTTATTAAAGATTAAAAAATTAAAATGACAAAAAAATAGGTTTCCATTAAAAGCAAAATAGAGATCGTCTTCTCCACCCGTCATGGGTCAAAATTGATCATTGCGATCCTTCGAATTGAAGAATGGAATCTACTCCTCAAGAATCAATGAATATACTGAGGCGTTTCCCAAAAATTTTGATTTAAAGATCAATTGTAAAGTTATAAGAGTTTATGAAATTGATTTTAGACTTTGATGGAGTCTTGACAGCTGAGTAGAGGAAGAGTGAAACAGATAATCATAGAGAGAAGAAG